AAAATGAAATGGCTTCCCAAGGGGAAAAAGAAAAAAAAAAATAATCTAGCAAAACTACTGACATATACAAAAAAGAAATAGAAGGACTAATGTTACAGCCTCATATAAGGAATTAAATTTATTAATAACAGCAACAAATTAAAAACGTAATGTAATTCCACATTCATCACCATCAACTACTTTTTTTATCATTATTAATGTTTTTGAAAAGGATACACAGTCATAACACAAAATATGAAGATAAGCCACTATTCACAATACTTAGGAAGAAACTCTCCATGTGAGTAGATGGCTAATATAGGATGTCTTCCATATTCCTATCTGGAATATGTTAACATCTATCAACTCAGAAGGGGTACCTGTCTACTTGAACCACACCATCTGCTCTTGGGAAGGTGTCCCAACACTCCCACGTTCCTACAGCCTAATTCCAAACAAAAGTTAAAAGTCACTTCCATCATATAAGACAGCCAAGTTCTTATCACCCCACCGAAAAACCACACCAAGCATACTTTTTAAGTAACCATATATACACTGAAGTATACTGCTATAGGGGGAAATATGTGGATTAGATCTGAAGATTAGAAGCAAACAGAAGGTATAAAAAATTTCCAAGACATTAATGCTGACAAGCATACCATAAATATATCCCCAAGCCCTATTTCTATGGCATCTTAACTCCACCTTAATTATTATAAAAACTACCCATTATTTCAACATTACAAGTACACTAATGAATTAAAAATTTATTTTTTAAAAATTTAAGATGTTACATCACTAATCAGCTTGCAAATTTCAGTTGAAATAAATTATTTGAGTTTATCAACCAAGCAACTGAAAACCTAGTTAATTTTTTATAACTGCTGGGCTCCCATGAAAGCAAGATGTCATCTATCTTGATAAAAATCTCAGTATCCTTCAGAAGTCTCAGCATCTGTTTTTGCTATTTAGGTAGCACCCTCAAAGAGCTACTTTTACCATATTAACATGTAGTAACATGAAGAAAAGAGGAAAAGCATGTTCAGCAGCTGCTGGATTTCTCTGAACAATCCTCAATGAAGTGACATCGTTCTGCTTAGACTACTGACACTTTCTGCACATACAATTAATCCATGTTAGTAACCTCATACAAACTGGAACTAAACAGCAAGACTACACAATGTCCAAAACATGAAGTTTGACTAAAAACCACCAAGATTAGCCAGCTTGCTTTAAACAACCTGGTTTTCTATTTTTTAGGCAAATCCACACTTCCTTTTAATACCTTCCCTTTGCAAAAGGGAATGAGATTTTTCCACATCTGAACTCTAGGTGATATCTTCCACAAATCTCATCTTCCCATCTCTCAAACAGTGACATGTTGAAAAGAAAGCTAAAAGTGAATTCAGAAATTTCCAAAACAAGTAATGGAACCTTAAAAAGAAAAACAACACAAGTCCAAATCCATCTCCGAGTACACATTCTCAAGCGAACTTGCAGCTTAAGAGCATGTAATATCCAGACAACTGGATAAAGCACTGAGCAACCTGGTCTGACCTCATAGCTTACTCTGCTTTGAGCAGTTGGATTACATGACCTCTTGATGTCTTTTCCAACTTGAATTATCCTATGATCCTGTGAACTTACTACACTATTACTCTACCCTCATCTATCCATGCAAGCTGAATTTCTTACTGTTTGACTGCTCTCAAGCTGCTCATTGAGTACTTCAAGCAACTGTTATCTGGTCATACTCACATAGACATCAACACAACGAAGTTAGCATGAGCTCAACATCTAAAATTGGTTGCTTTAAAAAGAAAACTGGCAGAATCAGGTTGAGGTTAAAGTCACACACACCAGCTTGAAATAATAATAGGAGGGGACGATAAGTTTACTTTTCCAAACCACCGCCTAGGCTGATGTATTCTTGCATAAAATTTTAAAAATCAAATCAAAACAAAAACGTATCTCCAAATGAAGACTTTTTTGTGACAGGGACTTTTTAAACTCACTAGACTGTGCAGGAGTTAGTAAGAAAAGCAAACCTCTACAATAAACTGAGAATATTTGAATTTGCCTTATTTTGTAATGTGACCGATCAGTCACTGCATAGAAGATGCATGCTCAAGAGCTTCTGAATCTTTCACAGGACCACAGCCAAGTTCAGAAGCAGAAGTCTCAAAGTCAGTTATCATCCTATATAAAAGCAGGCAACTTCAGAGAACAGACCAGAATCTGAACATTTACGTGTCAGAACCTAATAGCCCCTTTTCCACAGCTGAACACTGCAAACCTTAGGCTCCCATCAGACCTCTATGGCAGTTAACAGACAACAGAAATGTCATACCTTAATTTAGTTTTTAGAAAGCCAAAGCCAAGCAAGGCAAATCTGTAGGACACAGAGGTTCATTAGTTCTTCTACACAGTTACCTGCTTAAATAGTAACCTACCACAGCAAGTAATCTCAAATAAACTGTAAGAACTGTATATAACATTCTAAGACTCTCAATCCACTGACTGAACAGTGACATTTGATAAACACTTAAAGTTTCTCACTCTTTACCTCGCCAACAAGTGAACACTAGAGCCAAAGCATGATCCTTCTCCCTCAAAACCATGTTGCTGGAATATGAAGAAGTTACTCTACTTCTTTGGTTCTATAATCACAAAACACTTCTCAAATACAGGTGCTTCTTTTTTTAAAAAACAAAACAAAACAAAAATCAAAAACCAACAAACAAAACCCATACCAAACAACAAAACAAACCAACCTGAGCCTCACCTGTTTTTACAGGAAATGTAAAATGAATAAAAAGTAACCCCTCAGGTTACACAGATTCCTAGGATAACATAGATTGGAAGTAACCTCCAAACTGCTCTAATCCAACCTTGCACTTGAAGTAGGCCCACTTAAATTGAGTTGCTGTGGACCTATTTCTGCTGCATTCAGATAACCTTCAAGAATGGAGATTCCACAGCCTCTCTAGGCAACCTGTTCCAGGATCTGACCACCCTCAATGGCAAAAAGTGCTCCTTCTCATAGGAATGTCCTGTGTTGCAACTTGTGTGCAAAGCCTCTCATCCTACAAGTGTGCACGTCCAAGAATAGTGCAGCACCATCTACTTGATTTCTGTCCACAGGTGTGTTGAAAATAGCAATAATATATTCTCTTATTCTTAGCATCATTTTCTTTAGGACCTTTGTAAACACAGCATAAAAACAAGCAACACCAGAATCTCAGTCAATAGCTGAAGAGCCACTTTTAACCCAAGTTTTTAGTACTTTACACTGGGAATTCTTTTTGAGTCAGAACAAAACAAACCAGCACTGTACTGCTTTAGAGAAATAGGAAACCTTCTGAAATTTCAGTGACCTGAGTCATGCCGAAAAAGAATTAAGAAGTACTGTTTAAAAAAAATTAAAACAAGAAGAGCCCTGGAAAGACTGGGTTAGAGCAATCTTTCTCTTAGAAAGATAAACAAAGCCTACTTTCCTAAAATCTGCCACTTAAGAATCCTGAAATGGATAGGAGACATAATAGAAGAGCTATCCAATTAAATTTCAAAGAGATTGCTTTCCTAACAGCTGTAAAGCAATGAATTATTCAGAAACAACATACCACCAATGGAGAAAGAAGAGACAGTCTCCTTAAGTGCTGGAACATGAAACCCCAAACAAACACACGAAGTTTTCCAAACATCCAGCTAATACACAAAAATGATCACTTGCACAAAGATCAATATTTCTTCATCTTGGTTCCAAATGATCATATTTCATACCACACTGTTGGCACCGTCTCAGGCTCTCACTGTTTGGTAAGTCTTACATCACACCAGGAGGAAGTGAGTGAAGATAATTACAACGGCATCTGGACTATATTCCCAATTAAAAAACAAGCAAACAACCCACCCCCCACCCCCCCAGTCAGGAGAGCTTGGCAGGGGATATGCACATTAGATAGTCAACTGGTTTTGTTCATGCTATACTTCATCCACTAAGGCAGTGTTCTATTAAGATGATCAAGTAAAAAGGTAAGCAGTATATTACAGATCTCTCTACTAAAACTGTGTCATCAGTAAGACAAGCCTAAATGTCTCTGTACAAGCTTTCACCTTTCAGAGAGATTTCAGCACTGAAAAACTATTATTCATGCAAGCTTACAGAGAGGATCAGCAGAGGGACTCCTCAGAAGTATGGCCTTATCAAATGATAATCAAATGATATACACACTAGTCAGGAATATTCTGGCCTACATGAGGCATACCTCTTAAAACAGCATTTCTTTTCAGAGTCTGCCATCCAGAGACCTGAAAAGACAGAAAAATAGTCTGAAAGTTAACATCCAAAATTTCTCAAAATCCAGCTGC